GAAGAAGAAGAGACAGAGGAAGACACTGGTTTAGAGGCTTACAATTTGGGGTGGATAGGCTTTGGGAGGTAAAGCTTCAGACTAGTGGTCACTTCTCAGTAACATAAAGTGTGCAGGTGGCTAGGGGATGGACCACTGGCATTTGGCTTGATGGTGCTGTCTGGGTTGGGGGAAGGTCTCAGCTTGTCCTGGGGTTTGGAGCCATGAGTGTATGTTTTAGTCAAGTAAGGAGCTGGGAGAGTGAGCCCCTATTGAGGGACCTCAGTTTCCCCATATGCTGTGTGTGGGCTTATTCTGTGGGAAGAGGCCAGAACACATGGCTGGGGGAAGGAGGGTTTATTGGACTGCTCTTCCCCATTTCCTTAGGGCTATGTTTCTCCCATCAGGATCTGAGCAGGAGTGTCCCTTAATAATAATAATAAAGATAATAATAGCAGCTACCATTTATTGTGCATCAGCCATGTGCCAGGATTCCCTGCACTGCTTTCCCCCACATGTTGCTATGTTTGTTCCTCCCCTTGGATACCTGCCCAAAGTCATAGAGCTAAAGTGGCTGGGTATTGGTACTGTATTCCAGAGCCTATGCTCATGGTCATTATACATTGCTGCCCCTTTCCCCTTAGATCTGGCTCTTCTTCCAAGTTGGGAGGGAGGGCTTTGAGCTCTGACATTGGGGTACCTGGTATGCTTTCCCCCAGGACTGACCCATACTCCCTGATTTGTTCTTCCCTAGGCCTTGTACAGCTCCATCAAGAATGAAAAGTTGCAGTGGGCCATGTGAGTCCCAGGGCTGTGTGGGGTTAGGGGTTAGGGGTGGGGAAGAGCTGCCTGGGTTACGGAGTCCTGGGGCTGTGGGTACGAGGCAGTGTGGCTGCCTTGCTTCCTTCTTTGGAGATGCCCTGCTTAGACTTGGGGTCTGTTTTGTCTCCAGCTGGGTTGTTATGACAAGCTGGGTTGGACGGGAGGAGGTGTGCTGAGATGTAAAAGGAAGATCTCCTGGTAGCCTCGTAGGAAAGCAGAGGCCTCTGGAAGGGTAGTCTTGATCAGTAGCACAAAAGGACTCCGTGGGTCTTAGGGAGCCCAGGTATCCCAGAACAAGGGGCTATGTTGTATCTTCTTGGTATCCCCAAGTAGAAACACAGGCAGACCCAAAGAAAGTCATGGAAGGTCCAGTATGAGGGAGAAGGTCCAGTTTTGGCCTTGGGGCCTCCAGTCTGAGGGTAGAGCCCTCAAGTAACAATCATTTGTATTTGTTGCTGTCTACTGAGAGTTCAGTCACTACCCAGTTTGGCTAGGAGCTCCCAGTCTTTAGGAGAGACCTCAGAGAGGCAGAGCTCAGAATTAGGGTACAAAGAGAAATCAGGGAATGCTTTTTGGAGGACTGGAACTGAGGCTTCCCTGAGGGGAAGTATTTGGGAGGCAAAGGTGTGGCTGAAATGAGTGTGAAATGGGGAGACCACAAGGAGGCAGGCCTGACTGGAATGAAGATAAAGAGTATTGGGGAGATGTAGTGTAAGTTTCATGTAGGAGACAATGGGGAGCTACTACAGTAGGTTCTGGAGCAAGGGAGTGACAAGATAGAATCTCTCTCTTTTTTTTTTTTTATCTGACAGAAACTGCAGACCAAGATTTTTTTGTTTGTTTGTTTGTTTTTTTGGAGGGCACTAGGAAGCTATCCCTTCCACCATTTAGCCAACAAACTATAAGCAAAGCCTCATAGTTTAGGTTAGGTACGGTTGAGACAGAGTTGAGTCAGACATGTGTCTGTCCTGGTAGAGGAGGATGTGAGGGTTGGGTGTGTATCTAGAAATAGAGAGGATGGGGATGGTTACATGTGAGGGGAGGAAAGGACAGCTGTGGCTCTACTCTGGGGATGTCTAGTTTTAGGAAGGAGACATGCTGCCTTGAGGAGCCCTGTTCTGAGGGGGGAAACCCTGTGGCAGGAGCCTCAGGTTGAAGAGACCCCCTGCAGCTCCACAAACGCTGGAGGAGCTTTCCAGGGTGGGCAGAAGCCAGGGCTGAAGGGGGGTATGGCTCCATGACCAGCTCCCCTCTGAGGCCATCACACCTGCAGAGACGAGGAGGAACTGAGGCGCTCTCTGTCTGAGTTGGCTGACCCCAACCCCAAGGTCATCAAGAGGGTCAGCGGGGGCAGTGGCAGCAGCTCCAGCCCTTTCCTGGACCTGACTCCTGAGCCTGGGGCTGCCGTCTACAAGCACGGGGCCCTGGTGCGAAAGGTGCACGCAGACCCTGACTGCAGGAAGAGTACGTGGCCAGGAAGGGGGTCTGGGGGATGGATGGGGGTGGGCCTGTCCCAGGCCCCCCTGACCTGCCTTCCTTCCCCCCCAGCACCTCGGGGCAAGCGGGGTTGGAAGAGCTTCCACGGGATCCTCAAGGGCATGATTCTCTACCTGCAGAAGGTGCGGGGCCAGGCCCATGGTGGGGGCTGTGCTGACTTGGGAGGGAGAGTGGGTGGCCTGGGCTAGGCCAGGTCAGACTGAGGCCAGGACAAGATGGTCACCCCTGCAGGAGGAGTATCAACCTGGGAAGGCACTCTCAGAGGCGGAGCTCAAGAATGCTATCAGCATCCACCACGCTTTGGCCACCCGCGCCAGTGACTACAGCAAGAGGCCCCATGTCTTCTACCTGCGCACTGCTGACTGGCGGGTCTTCCTCTTCCAGGCTCCGTGAGTGTCCTTTTCCTGTCCACCCCAGACCCTTTCCTTGTCCCTGGATTGCCTCATTTCTTCTCAGGCCACATCCTGAGCCAGGACAGGCATCCCTTGGCCCAGATCCCAAGGGACTGTGCTGTCTCCCCAGGAGCCTGGAGCAGATGCAGTCCTGGATCACTCGCATCAATGTAGTCGCTGCCATGTTCTCTGCACCCCCCTTCCCAGCTGCTGTTAGTTCCCATAAGAGGTTCAGCCGCCCTCTGCTGCCCAGCGCTGCCACCCGCCTCTCCCAGGTAGCCCCAGTTCACTTGGCCCACCTGCTGCCAGTGGGATGGAGTGGGGCAGGCCCAGGCTGGGTGCACTCCAGGCTGCTGTGTGTTGCATCCCTGTGACAGTCATGGGAGACAAGCAGAGGCTGAAGTCCAGCCCCTACACTACTTGCTAAGCTGGAAACCCAGCCATAGTGTGCTTTGCTTGTCCAAAGGGACACCTTGTTAAAATTTGCCCAAAGGCACTGTATATCTAGATAATAGTGACCCTGACTATTCTCTCCTGGCTGTTAGGAGGAGCAGATGCGGACCCACGAGGCCAAACTGAAGGCCATGGCAAGCGAGTTGCGTGAGCATCGGGCCACCCAGCTGGGAAAGAAGGCCCGAGGAAAGGAGGCTGAGGAGCAGCGGCAGAAGGAGGCCTACCTGGAGTTTGAGGTGAGTCTCCCTGCTTGGTACTGTGCTTCCCAAACAGGCTCAGGCTAGGGTTAAGGGTGGGGGCTTTTATATTTATTTATTTTCATGTGGTGCTGAGAATTGAACCCAGTGCCTCACACATGCTAGGCAAGTGCTCTACCACAGAGCCACAACCCCAACTCAAGGGTGGGGGCTTTTAAGAGTTGTATCAACAGGGTGACCTTGGGCTTAATCTCTCTGAGTGTAAGTTTTCTCTTAGGAATAAGGGTAACACTCACACTCCCTAGGGTCAGGAGGTAACACATCTGTTTCCTGACTCTGGTAAAAACTCAAGAAATGGCTGAGCATGGTAGCGCATGCCTGTAATCCCAGCCATTCACTGGGGAGGCTGAGACAGGAGGATTGTGAACTCAAAGCCAGTCTGAGCAAAAGCGAAGGGCTAAGCAACTAAGACCCTGTCTCTAAATAAAAAACAAAAAATAGGGCTTGGGATGTGGCTCGGTGGTTGAATGCCCCTCAGTTCAAGCCCTGGTACCAAAAAAAAAAAAAAAAAACCCAAACCAAAAAACCTCAAGAAATGTTAGCTATAACCCACAGGTAGTTCTGAGAGCCCAGAGAAAGTCATCAACCTGCCAGCTGGGGTCTTTTGGGTATAGAGGTGGGTGGGACATTCCATCTCCTAGCTGGTCATGGGTGTGGGAAGGGCTGGGAGAGGAGAACAGGTGCTCATGGCTCCTGGCCCCCTGCCTCAGAAATCCCGCTACGGCACCTACGCAGCACTGCTTCGGGTCAAGCTGAAGGCAGCCAGCGAAGAGCTGGATGCCATAGAGGCAGCGCTGGCCCAGGCCGGGAGCATGGAGGACGGACTCCCTCTGCCTCACTCCAGTCCCTCCCTGCAGCCTAACCCCACCAGCCAGGCCCGCACTCAGCGTCCTGGCTCACAGCCTCGGTCAGGGGCAGGCAGCACAAGGCGGAAGCCCTGAACAGGGAGTGGGAGTGTGGGGGATGGTGCCTGCTGGGCACCTGCATGATGACATGGCCCTGCCTAAGCCCGGGCCGGCCTCGGGCCACCCATGAGGGCCTCCTGGCCCAGGGCCCGACCGCGCCGGACGCGGTGTCCGGGGCAGGGCAGGGTTGGGCATGGGCCTCAGGAGCCTAGGCTAAGGGCGCCTCTAAGACCCCTTTTGTGATAATGTTTTGCACTTTTTCGTACAGGGTGGGTGGGGGTGGGAGGGGCCAGTGCCCCAGAACTTTTGATGGGGTCCTTTTTTTTTTGTGGGAGAGGCCTGACAACATTTCCGCTTTCTGCCAAGACTATCCCCACCCTGACACCAGCAGTCACACTCTCCATCCTGGGGCCTGGCTCAGACAGAGGCCCAGAGTTGAAGCTGAGCTGGTTTTCCCTCCTTTTCCATGAGGGCTCACCTCTCTCTTTCCAGAGGTGGAGGAAGGGCATCCACATTGAGGCCCCATCCACAGACCAGGGTGGCACTGCCTGCTTTCCCTCCCTCAATGGGCCCTGCCCTTTGTACAGCCTCTGCCCCATTAAAACTGCTCTGAATTGCTGGCTGGGTCTTGTCTTCTTGTTGGCTTGGGGCCAGGGCAGGAAGCTGGTTCTAGGGACTAGAGTCACACTGGGGGCTGCCATAAGATGGGAAGGGGGTCCTCCCAGAGAATCTTTTATTTGCTCCAACTGAGGTGTGGGCATGGGGTGTTAAATAAGATTTGGACTAGATAGGGATGCTGTACAGAGAAGTTCAGGAAGAGGGCTGAAGGGCAGGTGGCAGTTCAGTGCACCTGAGGCTGGGGGTGCCCATGGCAGAGCCCTCCTGGTGGCTCAGGGGGTGGGCCCAGCTTCTCTGCCTCCTGTTCCACTGACTGGCTCCCATATGCACTGTCTTCCTTCACTTCTGCTGGAGGGACACAGGGAAAGGAACGGGGGCAAGTCAAAGGCTCAGGCCTCCCACCCTGCAGACCCAGCTCCATCTTCCAGGCTGGCCCCCTTTACCTGTGCTAGGCAGCTTTTCTCGGGTCTCAGGACCTCTTAGCAGTCGCACTCCTTCATCTAGACCCATGTCAGACAGGGCATCCAGCAGACCTGACAAGTCACCACCAGCCAGCTGAGGAGAAGGAAGAGACAGGAGGTTTGAATCATGCTTATGGCATTAGGGTGGGGAGCTCAGGGGCCAAGGAATCATCTGGGCTCTGAGATGGGGAAAGCATATGGGGGCTGGGAGAGAGTATAGATTGTCCCACCTTATAACTGCGCAGGAGGCTGCCACTGGGTGAAGCTGTCTTCCGGTATGTGTCAACTAGACTGCGCAGTCCTAGCCGCTCTGCCAGCTCTGCCCAGCTACCCTGGGCTTCCGGCCCATCTAGCAGCTGCTCCAGATTCTGTAAGGCTGTCTCCCCAAGTGACAGCCCTGGTCCTGATGGGGCACAGATATAAACATGTCAGTTGCCTCCAGATATGGGCAGAGACAGATACCTGGACACCACCTTTCCCCTGGAAACCTGACAGTCAAGGCCACTGGGACAGAAGATGGAAAGGAAGAACCCTCCTTCAGAGGTTTTGAAGGAGAAGACCCCTGTTAAGATGCTCCTGGGGCCTGGGAATATCTGTGAGACCTTACCTGCAGGGCTGGGTGGGGTCAGGGGGGGCTCCATGATGTTCTGAGCAGCATTAAGCAGCAAGGTCTTCACCTGGGGAGATAGTTTTGACTACTTCCCATCCTACTCTTAAGCCTAGCTACCTGGAAGTCCACACTCTGAGCCCCATTCCCAAGCCTAGGAAGTACCTGGCGCTTTGTTAGTTACTTCCAGTGCCAGAATAGCCTCACCTTGGTGCTGCGTGTGAGGTCAAGAGGTGTGTGGCCCCGGAAGCTGCTCTGGATGTCCCTCTCAGGTCCCTCGGAATCTGAGTCGCTTCCAGAGGTGGGAGGTGAGGGCAGTGGGCACAGAGGCTCCTCATTTTCTGCGTGAATGTCAGCACCTGGGGAAGGAAGGCAGTCATCCGGTGGGACAATGGGGGCCTACCTTAAGAAATACAAAATGAGGGTACTAGGAGCACCCTTTTCCTCCCCTTGCCCTGTTCATATGCCTCTATGGGTGAGACTGACCAGCCTTTAGAAGGAGACGGGTAAGAGTTGGGGATCCCAGTCCAGCTGCCAGGTGTAGGGGTGTGTTTCCAGCAAAGGTGCGGGCGTTCACATTGGCATGGAGCTGTGGGGTGCAAGAAAGTGGACCCCAGCATGGTTCAGTTGACTGACCCTTCCCACACACCTCATCATCATTCTCAATCTCCCTGCAATCTTGGCTCTACCCCTTCCACAATCCTCGTTCCCACCTTGGTGACCAGATGTGTAACCAACCCCAGCTCCTCCATCTCGGTGGCTAGATGCAGTGCTGTTCGGCCTCCCTGTCGCTCTGCAGCCTCCACTTCAGCTCCATTGTCCACCAGCAGATCCAGGCACTCAGGGCTTCGGGCACGAACTGCCAGGTGTACTGGATACAGTCCTGGAAATGCAGGATATCAGTCTAGCTGTGATCCCAAAGTGGCCTCAAGATTAGCCCTGATGAGCCAGTCTCAGCACCTAATGTCCACTTGCAAGACACCCTCATTGGTCTTCACCTCTACCCTCCAAGTTTGGAGTTGGTGGGGAACTTACCCTCAAAATCAGGCATATGTAATAGCTGGGGCACAGTGGGAGCTCCACTGTGCAGCAGTGCTTGCAACAGGTTTGGGGCTCCAGCACCTGCCCGCAGTGCCAGGTGAATGGCTGAGTCTCCATGGCGATCCAGCAGTGCAGGGTCTGCACCCACCTGTAGCAGAAAGCTCACCACCCTTGTCTGTCCAGTTATCACTGCCAGGTGCAGGGGTGTCTGAGGAAAAGTCAGGGTGAGTCAGGGCCAAGCCAGCTTAGACCCACCTGCCTTCCAACTACTACTCCCTCACCAGTAGGTGCCCCCTCACCTGGTGCAGGTGGTTGGTGAGGTTGACAACACCGAGGTGCTGGGCATGGTAGATGACATGGGCTATCTGCTCAATGACACTGGTCTGCCCGTGGATGATTGCCAGGTGCAGCGGCCTTGGGGTTGAAGAGTAACTCTGGCTTAGCAAGCCCAGCCACTCAGGATTATCTGCCCTCAAAACCCCACCACTTCTTTCCTAGTCTCTCTGGCTGGGGCTTGTTGAACCCAAAATATCTCCAAGGACATCGCTGTACCTGAACTTAATCCTTCTCTGCACTTTTTTAGGTAAATAATGGCTATTATTTGTCCCTTCCTCAGAGGACAAAACTGAAGTTTGGAAAGGGTAAGTACCTAGCAGAACTAGCAAATAGTGAGATTTGCAGTGAAATTCGCAGAACCTGAATTCTGGTCTTTTCAACTCCAGGGGCCAGCTCTTTGCAGATCCCTTTCTTGCTCCCACACCACGACCTTGCATCAGGGGTGATAAATCCCAGACCCTAGGAAGCCCGGCCTCGGCCCGCCCTCTAGCCGCCTACGTGTCTCCGTTCTCGTCCTGAGCCATCAGCAGGTGGCGCTGTCCCGCCAACAGCGCGCGGGCGTCCGCCGTGACGCCGTAGTCGAGCAAGGCTTGGGCGCTGCGCTGCGTCAGGCCAAACAGGCGCGCGTTGTACTCCCGAGCTGGGGGTGACAGGGGGCATGGTAGGATGCATGATTGGTCTCCAGCCCCGGCGTCCCGACCGTTCACATTTTGGAGGCCATACCTCGTAGCAGGGCGTTTGGAGCCTGTGGTTCGCCCTCTGGGTTTCCAGGGGGCGCGCTTGGCTCTGCCGCTTCCTCCATAGCATCCACACCCGGCGAGGAGGAGGCCATCTGCGCCCCGCCCCCGCCGCCCGGGTAGCAGCCCATTGGGGCTGCGCCGGACTGGTAGGGGCTGTAGGCCAAGGAGGAGGGGAAAAAGCCGAGGCTGCCACCTGTGGGTACAGGCAGGGCTGTGGGGAGCGGGCACCAGCCAGGACTCTCCCCAGTTTCTTCCCCACCATTTCTTCCCCCCCATCCCTATCCCCTCCACACCTCTTCAGCCTTCAGCACCCCTCACCTCCTCCTCCAGCTCCTCCATAACCCCCAGCAGAGCCCCCAGAGCCTCCACCCATGTGCGAGCCACCTCCAAAGGGCTGGGAGAAGGTAGGCAATGCCTTCCTCCGCTTCCGCTGCACCTCCTCCTTGTCTGGGGGCAAAGGCAAACAAATGTTAAATCTCTAGTTCAAGGATCATGCCTTAGGGTCTCTTTTTTCAAAAGTACTCAGACTGGCTCCTAGAAATCACCTCTTGGGAACCCTCCAGCCCAGCCCAGTCCCATAGGATCCTCAAGCCCAGTTCCACCTTCCACCAGAGGATAATAGGTGAACTGTTTGGAGTCAGATACATCCCCTCCACGCTTGCGTTTCAGTTGTAGGAACACCGTTACAGGCCGCTCAATCTTCATCTTGTGATAGGGAGGTGTCCGGAACACAATGGCATACTGAGAGGGTGGGGGACAACACAGGGTGTCAGTCAGGCCTTTGCCTAGTTCATCCCCTAGCCCAGGCCCTGATCCCTAAGTACCTGTTTATGAACATCTGTGGGAGAGAAGTCCCCAAAGGCCTGCCATCCATTCTCATCATCCTCATAGAACCGAACCTCAATGTCATCTACAGGAAAAGTGAAGCTTGACCATAGTTTCTGGGAGAACCTTCACAGCCATTTATCCTGGACCTGCTCTGATCCTCAGGCTAGAACTCAGTGTCCCTAATTCCCAGTTTAGGCTCCAGCCTCACCTTTCTGCACCTTGTCACAAAGCAGATAAACTTCATCTCCACCCCGTACAGAGCCCGCTGTCTTGTCCATTCGAGAAATCTTCAGGTTTGAGGCCCCTGGAGATTCTATGAGGTGGGAAATAGATTAGGTGATATAATGCCAGACTGATGGAGCCAGGGGCTTTAGGGTTATTATCTTGACAACTCAGGAGGTACAGGAATTACTAATGTCCTCTCATTTACCAAAGATGGAAGCAACACTCAGAAGAAAAAATGAGTTGCTCAAGACCATTTAGCTTATATGTGGCAGGACCAGGTTCAAACCAAGGTTTGTTTGACTCTATAGCTTGACAATGTCCCTTATGCTCCCTCTGGCACCCAGGCCTGGCACCAGTTAGGATACTTACTACTGTCATGGATGGGCTGGGAGATAACTGGCTTCAGGGGAAGGGAAAAAGAGCCATCACTGGCTCGAAGGAAGGCAGAGAAGCGTAGACGCACAATACTCAGATCCATCACTTTCTTCAGCTCTTTGGCCTCCTGCTCCAGCTCCCGACGCTCAGCCTCTGGGTAGTGAGCATATGTGTAACCACTAGGTTCCTCCTCTTCCCTGCTCCTTCTTTGAGTAGTTTCCATGATTCTCCCTGCCTCCATACCTGTAAGACCGTGGGGCCTGGAGCGGAGCCTCTGCCTCTGAAGTTTTTGTATCATAATCTCCATCATATTCTTCTTGGTCACATGCAGGACACCCAGGTTATTGAATCTGGAGAGGAGGAGGAGTCAGAGGCCTTTGCCCATGCATTTCTTTCCTTCTGAGGCAGCCTTCTCACTGCCAGGCTTAACATAGCCCTACTTCCTCAAGGAAGTTATTCTTGTTAATACTTGGGCCCTCTGGTTCTTGGGCCAACCTAAGCCTCCCCCCTTTGTCAGATGCTAAGCACACAGAAATGGGCTGGGGCCTAGGATTGGCAGGCAACAAGGGGCCATCCTAGAGGGGACCAGGGCTAGGGGACACTTACTGGGCAGTCATGTCCTTGGGCCCCACAGAGACAGCACAGACTCCCAGCTCTGAGCACTGCTTGCCCACCAGGCTGTGGGCATGAGCACGAGGTGGGTCACTGTGTGTTACCAGGTCCACCTCAATCTTGGCAGGGCCCTCGTAGTTACAGATCTGAGTGGGGAAGACAGCTGTCAGTAATGCCCCAACATGCTGTCTCAGCCTACCCTCCAGCATCATCCTAGCTTACCTTGACAGTGGGATAGGTTTTCCGTCCCTTCTCACTTGAGGCACCAGGCAGGCCTCCATGAGAAGGACCTTCACAGCCATATCGAAATCGGAAGCCACGCTGAAAGTCCAGAGTGACATTGTAATCAGGAGAGACCATCCTAGGTAGCCACACTTCTGGCCAGCAGTGACCATAATAATCAGTTATGTCTACCCTGAACCAGAAGCACCCCCACTGTGATCAACAGCAACCACCATCCAAACCACAATGGCTTCCTTGGACACTGATCCCTGGGCCCCAAGTCCACCCACTATAGCTACCCCACTTGCCCTCAAGTTGAAGCCATCCCACACCATCCTTTTTGCTCACTCACTTGCTTAGGCTGTTCCACAATCACCAGGTAGGGGCCATCAGCTGGGGACAGAGGGACCTTGTTAAACTAGGATTTTCTAGCATGTTATCCAGGCAGAGGGCACATGCTCTTCCTTCTCCTCCCTCTAACACAAGGGGAGGTTAGCTGACTTACTAACCTGTCTCGGGGACTGGCTCCTTGGGTTCCACAACGGAGGGACTGAATTTGAAATCATCATATTCAGCAATACCATCCAGACCCTGGTTTGGAGACAGATTGGAAATGGCTGATTTTGCTCCATCCCAGAACCCTCCCACCTCCCAGCTTCAAACCTAAGCAGCTTGCAGACAGGTGATCAGACTGACAAGCGAGCTGAGGACACACAAACGTAAGGGAACTGAGCGGCTCCCGAGGAAAGACAGACACTGGGGGCACCGGCTGCCTTCAGGGCCAGGCAGCGTGACTCACTGGGTCGTAGCAACTGTCCATGTCTCTGGGCTAGGCCCGGCTCTGTCTGGTGGCTTCGGCCCCTGGTTTTGCTT